GGGCCTCACGGGATAGTAAAGTGTACATTAGATGTGCACTTCATAATCTTACCGGAAGTAGGTACCTTTTGCCTACTGTTTTATGAATACTGTGAATTCAACATACTCTTTTCACTGTTATTCACCTACTATAAAGTTGGGAAGTATATGTATTTGGATGCAGACAAACTTTACTTTATAGGCACTTTAAGCCAGTGCTTAAGTCGTTTTACACGTTATAACACTATAGTATATCTACACAAAACAAGCACACCATAAAATATAACGTACATTTTTAAGCATATATATAATATAACAAACACAATTTAACTTTTTCAGATACAACATAACAACAGAGCCTGATTAAATGACATAGTCCACAGTTACAGTATGGATCAGCATCACCATTCCAAGTAGGCTAAGTGCAAATAAGCAGTCTCCACTGGACCTGCAGCTCCCATCCTACAAAATGAGGATAAATACAAACAAAGAAATGCAGGTTTTAGTCTTTGGCAAAGGTCCCCAATGCATACTGTAATCAGCATTTGAGATGGTTAGTCATTGATATGAAAAATCAAAGTGTAAGAAAGTTGTGCATATCCCACAAACCCACACAGGGCTCAGGTGCAGGACAAAAAAAAAAGTCAAACTGTAGCAAAAATACAAACGTATTGTCCGCACACTGATGTAACTGCTCCATAAAAATAATTTATTGCTGCAACGTTTCGACCATCAGGTCTTTGTCAGGCACAAATTACGTGAACTGGTACAACTCTTTATAAGTGACAGGTGATCATTCTAATTAGACACATTCAATCACTATACAGGTACACTCCCACAAAAAAAACAGAGAGAAAGAGCAAGAGCGAACGAGAGAGCGAGAAAGGGGGGAAAAACCCCGCATTAAACTTGAATAAATATACAAATCAATACAGGTACAAATCTTAAACTCGAATAAACAAACAAATCAATACAGATCAATAATCACTCAAAATATTCAAACAATACTAAAGACAGATGAAAAAATACACACAATCCTATAGGAAAGGCTTAATATCAAATTCTTCATTCAACCCAAAACGTGACAAGGTATTTAGAGTATAAATCCAAAAACATTCCCTTTGTAAAAGTTTCCTCTCAAAATCCCCCCCCAATGGTTTTTGTACCTTCTCTATACCGATATACTGTAAGGCACTAACATTCTGTCCCACTTTGTTAAGTCGAGCTTGTGACAGCAGGATTGAATCTGATTGGCTGTCAATATTTTTATCGTTCTTCAGCTGGAAAAAATCGTTCCGAAAGTGATTCCAGCAATATAATTTCTCTGTGCCTTTATCGTTATAGTTGTGGTGTGGACTGTGCTATTCTTTATTATTGAGAAAGATTTTTAGAACTATATCTTTATCATTGTCTTTATAGTTATCGTTCTTGGTGTGAACGGGGCTTAAGAGTGACAGGTTTCACTACACTAGACGGGAACTCCGATCGTACAAGCATGTCACACAGGTTACTTTAGTATACCTAGTATGCCTAGGCTGAAAACTTGGTATGGCAGTGTTGTATTTCAGTGAGATGGCTTTAATCCTGAGAAACTGGCCAAGAAAACCCAGCCCAGCAGTGCTGTGCACAGACAGTTTGAGAGGTGGGAAGTGCTTAAGTACTCAAGATACAAAA